TTCGGTTCTGGGTGCCCTAAAAAAGGACACTTAGCCGACAATTTGGCTCAGATAGCTAAAACCCAAAAGTCACACCCCGTTCCACAGTTCACTGTATTTTCCTCACACCTCTAGTATAAATGATTTGACATAACGAAACTAACAATAATTATAATTAATGTAGGTAGATATCAACTAGAAGCATGTACTTAATGGTTATAAAGCTTATTTTAACACAAAAAGAATAAAGCACTAGTCGAAAAGCAGCAATCAAATATAAATAGACCACAACATTAAAATCAAAATTAAAAACTATATTAAAGACAAATACTCTAAAAGCACAAAAGATCAGAACCAAATAAAATGAATAACCATAATAACCTAAAAATCACACTAAAATTGCAAAAACTATTACTGTAAAATCATGAGATTACATCAATAATGCATATGCGTCGGAGTATCGCAAATGCCAAAAGTACAGTGTTTCCATTAAAATTTAGCTATGTTTTTAGCAGTATTATAGGACCATTTCTACCACGCGCATCCAACGATATTGGCGTTCCACAGTTCACTGTATTTTCCTTACACCTCTAGTATAAATGATTTGACATAACGAAACTAACAATAATTGTAATTAATGTAGAGTAATAAGTGATTCGTGAATTCTAAATAAAACAATTATTATATAAAAGTGTAAAAGGAAATGTAATTTATTTCCCTATTTTCTTCTGTAATATCTTCAATTATTATGTTTAATTTCTATAAATAAACCAACTGGTTAGGTGAAACATTGTGATATAAGATTTTATTTATGTGTCCTATGCGTACACTTTAATATACAAAACACCTGGAACATTCTTTAAATAATTGGGGTCGTAGAAATAATTATGTACATAACTCGTTTAAAAGTGTATTTTATGCACTTGCCAAATATATTATCCATACAGATTAATAAGACTATTTTTTTACTTAACTTCAGTACATCTCTACTAAAACTATTTTTATCAATGGAAAAAAAGGGCCGTGTTCTCGTATGTTTTGACGCATTTTCGGCCTCAGCCCATCGGATCCCCCCTCTAAATATATATGAATTTTGCTTAGAATTGCTAATCCTACAATTCTCTATTCGTGCTTGCTGACTGGGAAAATAAATACCGAAAATCGTCACTGTCTCCTGGACTATACAATAGATGATGATGAGAACTTCACAACAAATACACTTTTATGAATGGCTAGTTGGGGATGTGGTTATAGCCATTGTAAGGTTTTAAATCGTCTTTAGGATTTTAACTTTGTAGACGTCAAAAAATAAATAATGACATACAGATTCAATTTTAATATCGGCTAGAATCCATTATCTAAAGTTTTAACCAGAGTCTTAATAAGCAAAAATTGATTTTGTTATAAACCTCATCCAATCTAATATCCGCTTAATGAACATTTTGATGATCAATAAATGTTTTGGTATTGTGCCACCTGTTCCACACACAAATACACCGTTTCAGGGAAAAATATATTAAACAAAATCGAACTTTCCATCTAGTTTTTGTCAATGTGTGTAACGACTCCAAATTGAATTTTGGAACATTTGATTAATGTTTTTTCCTGAAATGAATATATTCATTTTGTTAGTGATACATTGTACCAACGGGTAATAATCAACAAAGCCATGAATATATTTTTTTGTCAACAAAAAATTTCACAAAGACTAGTTAAAAAATGATGAGGTAGCGTTCGAATAATTCATGAATATAGGAATTGAAATAGTACAGAGATGATGTAGAGTCAAAAATAATTTTCATTATTTTCGAGGCAAATACATTGAGAATAACAAGATACCTACCAACGTTTAGATGAAAAAATTTTAGTAGACAACATTCTTTATACATTATAAAATATCTATTTTAAAATTTGTTGGACTGTTTATGGGTGTTTTACAAATTAGTTTCATTTTTTAAAGGTAGGTATCTATTTATATTAATATAATTTTTCTATTATCTGGGTTGGGCTGAATTTTGTCTAATTTTCGTCCTTTATTTTTTAAATTAAACATACCTACCTATGATTATCGTAAGAGAAATCTAATGAATTTCGTTATAAGCTTACCATAACTTACTAGAACATACTATAGTTATCAGAGCATTTCTTTATACAGTTTGGTTATTTCCCTGACGTCATATGTTATCAAAGCATATAACTACTGCTAATCACGCGTGTGTTTTCTTGGCAAAGAAAAACGAAATGAATGCTGACTATGTCGAGCAATGGTTTGAGGAGTCGTTGATTCCTAACTTACCCAAACATGGACGAAAGAATGTTGTTGTTATGGTTAACGCTTCGTTGAATTTACGTAAACTTAGTTTTCCACCTACCTCATGGAACAAACCCGAAATAAAACATTGGCTGTTTGAAAAAAATATTTTCTTTGGCGACTCCTATTTAAAATCTAAACTGCTTGAAGTTGCTAACGCATACAGAGAGCAATAAGACAAATATAAGATTGAGGAAATAGTTGCAAAATACGGGGTAACTGTTTTACGCTTACCACTGTATTATTGCGAGCTTAACCCGATCGAGATGGTATGGAATCAGGTAAAGCCACATACTTTGTCAAAGTATGTGGGTAAAGCGCTATGTTGCTATGAACAACTTTGATTTCAAGACACAGGATGTCTGTTCATTAATAGATGAAGCATTTGAACATGTCACTGAACAAAATTGGCGTAAATGCGCTGCACATTTCAGAGAAAAAATTAAAAAAGGAAATGTGGGTCGCTGCTAATCTCCAAGACAACGTTGATGAACTTATTATAAGAGTACATTTTGGCGACAGTTCTATGAGAGAAATTTCAGACCTCGACGATGACTTACAATTACTTATCTATTGCGTAAAATTTGTTTATTATTAGTTAACTTATAAATTTCATGAGATTTCGCACTGCATTCTCAGTGTGTCTCGCACTATAGTACATATCCCATTCAAAAATACATACCCAAAACTTCGTAAGCATGAAAATTTAATTTTCCTATGGGAATAAAAGTATAGAATTGGGTTCTTGGTAGTATTTTCAACTGCTTTTTTTATGCATCCATTCTTACCTACAAACTATGTTACTTTCCATACCAGTAATGTAATGTAATATATCAACATTTTCAGTTCTCAAATAATTATTTACTGGGAAATTCACTTTATGAAGTGAAATTATTTATATTTCGGGAAATATTCTAAATATTTACATTCGAGTTTGATATTTTCAATTTTCACAATTTTCCATTTTGTTCATTTCCAGATTGCTCAACAAACAAATTAATGAAATTGAATATAATATGTCGTATACCACTTTATCTGAAATTAATTTGTAGGTAAAATACAACAAGTGCTTTAAAATGTATTTTAACATTTTAAATTAATTGGTATACCTACTCGTAATTTTCATTAGTAGATAAATTGAACCACTTTATTAATTTTATAATTAAATGAATGCCACTAGTTACTGAATTTTTGTTGAATGTATAATTTTTGTAAACGTTTTTTTTTATCGTAATTATTTTTTATCTACAATTTTAATAATTTAGAATTTAGAATAAATAAAGTGTGGAATTCGTAATTATTTTGATATACAACATTTAATTACAGGGTGTGCATTTTAACTAGCGGATTAAGGAAACAGGTAGTATTCACGATATACCTACCCAACTAAAGGTAGGATGTCGCGCACAGTGGAGGTTCTTAAGCAACGTCATTCATAGTGACTGTGCTTTTAATCAATTGTAGAGTTGGGAATATTGTGCATATTTGCTTATAGAAGTTAAATATTAAAATGCGATGTGTTATTGTGGGATGTGATTCCAACAACGAATCTAAACGGAATGCGTGCAAGACGTTAGGTTTTTTAGTTTTCCTAAAGACCCTAACCTTAGCAAAAAGTGGTTGCATCTTAGCAAGAGGAAAGATAAACTTAATATAAAAAACCTTTCCCGCAAGATTCGTGCCAAAAATCCCAGAGATCAATTTTACAGCAAAAGTAACGCGTAAAGTAAGATACATGAAATTAGTCACTTTATATTTTTTTATATTTTTCTGATCCAAATCTTAATAAACATCTTTTGTAATATGCGCGTGGCAGACGAAAACTGAACACGGGATCATCCGCAAATAACTCTTCTCCTAAGTCCAATTCTTATGACATTGATGTAGTAAGATATGCATTTAACTGTATAACAGTTGAAAACTGGAAAAACGCTATTCAACATGTTAAAAAATATGAGATTTAACAGTACAATCCAAAAAATTGAAATAAATTTGTATGATACTGATGGATGATAATAGTGATATTATTTCAGAACATGAAATTAGTGACTGTGAAAGTAATTTAGAATTATAAACGTTTTTAAATTCATTTACCTACATTTCCACAAAATAAATCTAGTGAAAATATTCTTTTTAAATTAATACTTAATAATTTTAGTCAGTTTCAATTTTCAATATATTTTTTAGTTAAACATGTTGTGTTTGGTAATAAAACCTTTATTTTTTTTTAATTTTAATACAAGTTCTCAGCGTGCTATATTTTTTCAATGCAATTTAGACCGCAAAAGGATCTTTGTAGAAATCAAATTTTAAAAATTATCTTTAATATTTAAACAAATAACATTCAACCTAAGCCGGCTCTGATCAGCATGTTGGCGAACGTTTCAAGAGGTTGCTAGACCTTTCTAGATTATCTTGTAATGGACTATATGCATTTTTTTTGTAGACGAGTTGACAACAACCTATATGTGCGATTGCTGCATTTTAACTGACTTTTGTTACTCTTGTAAGGCGTCACTAGTAAAAATAGTTTTTATGTTGCGAGATAACATCTTATACCCTAGTGCCACTATTGAAATAACATACCAAATTCGCCTGAGCATCAGCATATTTACAATCTGATTTATTTTCATGAACTACTATAATACAAATATTATTAATAACGCTATATTATATAAAACCATTTTTCCTACAGTGTTGTTTTTTTCAGGATATTCCGCAGCATGTTACAACTTTAACGTTCCTAATAATGGCATGGGACAGATTTAGATACATCAAAAAACCGTACAGACCAAGAGTTCCAGCATTCGTTTGCAACTTTGGTACATGGCTCACAGCTGTATGCTTGGTACTACCTTATTCAATGTATATAATGTACATCGATTTGGGGGTAAGTTTAAAATGTTATAAATTATCCCCTAGTTAGCGTTTACCCACAATGTTTCTTGTTTCAAGAAAATTGGATTTGTTAAATTTTTAAGGGACGACTGCTCACATAAGATCTTTCACAATTTTATTTAAAATTATTTTTTTTTTAATATTTTATTTATTTTATGTAACAATTTTAAATCTCAAGCTATATTAATTTTTGTTTAATATCTGTAATAACTAACAATGATAAAAGGATTTTATATGTGACTGGATTGTTGACTCTGCTCAATAGTAAATATTTAGAAAACAAAATTATTTCTTTTTAAATTATATGGTACTATATCGTTATAATCTAAATCTTAATCAAGTTCAGTTTAACGTGAATCTATTTGTTATAATCATTTTAAGGTAGTTTATAATTTGTAAATAAAATAAAAGTTTTAACTTTTTTCTATATAAAACTTAATAAAACTTTGTAATTCTGATAAACCAAAAATATTATTTTGGAATGACAGTATTGTGTTTAAGTGCGATGAAAGCTTCAACGGTATCTTGAAGAGTTTCTGTTATGGTAGAACGAAAATCGAAACAGATTTTGTTGGAAAAGCAAATTTGAATCCAGGAAAACAACGAGGAATTTAAGTATATCTCAGTCGACAGAATTATAGTGTTCGTAAGAGTGCATTATCTGAATATTCTGTGCAAATTCTATCTACCTTGTTTTTATGCCACGCTGGCTGTTAAGGAGGTCCTTTGGCCACCAATGTTAAATAAAAAATATTAGATTATGACTAAAATTAATTTTTTTCTAATAGTTGAAGTCCTTATTTATCTAATAGTGAACTTTTAACTATACCTTACCGTGCAAATTTTTGAGAAAAAAGAATTTTAAAAATGTGAGTATTTGTACAGTGTCTTATGAGAAAGTAAGACTTCAACAGCAATTTTTGAATTGTAATTAAGTATACGATTATTTATTGATTAGATGGAGTAGAAAAAACTAAAAATAAGGTTTTTGAAATATTTAGGTTTTGTTTTTTACAATTAAATATATAGGTTACCGTGGAATTTATTGAGAAATTAATATTAAAAAATCACAAAAAATTTTCAACTAAGTTGCTTGAAATTTTTTTTTAATATTAATTTCTCAATAAATTCCACGGTAACCTATATATTTTATTGTAAAAAACAAAACCTAAATATTTCAAAAACCTTATTTTTAGTTTTTTCTACTCCATCTAACCAATAAATAATAGTATAATTCGAGAATTGTTGTTCAGGTCTTACTTTCTCGTAAGACAGTGTACAAATATTCACATTTTTAAAAAAAATATTTCTCAAAAATTTGCACGGTAAGATATAGTTAAAAGTTCACTATTAGGTAAATAAAGACTTCAACTATTAGAAAAAAATTAATTTTAGTCATAATCTAATAACTTTTTTTTTTAACATTGGTGGCGAAAAGGGTGGCGAAAGGACCTCCTTAAGGACATCACTTAACCTATAAAAATAAAAATTTATTTAAAAATTCGAGAGACGCTAAAATGGTGGTTCCCACCTTATCGAGACTGAGGCCCACAAGGGTAAACTCGTAGCGTAACAAAAACGAGAAATGATTTAACTTGGACCGAAATACCAAAAGCCGATAGTAGTATTAACACGATGAATTTTTTGGTTTGTGAACATTGGCATTACTTAGGTTAAACCATGTGATGGTTTTCACAAGCCTTGATTTTTAAAACCATTCTATATCGCCTTTTGGTTAGGGTTTAAAAACTTGTTCGAGCTATTTATTCAATAATAATTGGCCCCTTTACCTCTTAAGCCTGCTCATGTAAAATATTTGGGCTTCTTACGTCGCCTATTTTTATTCTATTAATAAAGGACAGAAGGATGAGTCTTACAACTATGTTAAAAGAAATAAATTGGCTTTCAGTTCAGAATTATGTTCAGTACATGACTGTTATTAATTTATAAAATAAAAATGACATAGTACCATCGCATCAGATCTATTAGAAAAAATTCAATATAAATAAGTGTATTCAAAAGTAATCTCAAACAATACTTGATAAATAAACAGAACGGATATACTTTCTTGTGATAATACTCTTTAAACCTGCCCTTTTTAAGTATTTCCCTTAATTTATTGTTATTTTATACCTCGTTTTATCCGCATTTATTATAGATTATTTGTTTTGAGATCATGTACTTTATTTTAAAAAATTACTTGATGTTATAATAATACCACTTACTATGTTTAAATTATTAATAGTTTTGCGAAGATAGGTTATAGCAACTTATAGCCACAAAACTATTTTTGTGTTAAAGTAGATCCATAGAGAGCAATGTAATTTACATAGGCCTTCTTTCAACATACAAATAAATGACAACTTTATAGTTAAAATGAAAAACACAACAAAATACCTCGGTATCATAAATGATCCAAATTTGAAATGGGCATTATGTCCTACCTCTCTTTTATAAAGTAAAAAAGTGCTTTGTATAAGAACATTATATTATCTGTCTTGCTGTACCTTTATTTATGGAAAGCCTGAATTGAGATATTTATTATTTGCAATAAATATCAAAAGAAGTATACATTTTTAAATAATTTGACATTTAAGAGCCATTCACATATCACAGTTGACATCTTGATACTTGACAGGCACAGCCAAGCATTATTTTGATTTTTGTCAAATAAAATGGCCGGTTAATTATTCTATGGGGTTGCGACAGAGAACCAGTAAATTTGATGAAGGTGTTTTTGTGGCTAGGGGCGAAATAGTAGTACGTCTAATAGCACCACCATAAAAAGTCATTTTTAAGAAACTGCTTATATATTTTTCATAAATTGGCAGGCTTGGCCACTAATTTCGAATGAAAATAGCCTCCAAAATGGCTATATGGTTGCAAGTATGAAGGTCGCAACCCGCCTTAGAAATTTCACCTTTCTATCAACAGCTGTTGTTTAACAGGTCGTTAGAAAATATTTGTAATTTATGGAATGTGAAGAATGTTAGGAATTTTTACTTTAGAAATAATTGGAATTCCTAAAATTGTCACATAAGGAATGCATAGGCGGATTTTAAGAAAATTGTTATTAAAGTAGTTAGGATGAACCGAAAATTCTGAAAATCAATAGGGTTCTATGTTAGAAGTAATTATTCAAGAAAATCAAAACCGCAAGTCAATCAGTACTTTCGTTCTAGGGTTATCGTGCCGGCATGGATTTTCGGATTCAGAATGATCAGAAACATGAAAAAAAGTTTAAAAAAAATGGGGGTCAGAAAATTTTTTCGTCTGCACGAATGCAATACTGAGGCCCCATAGGAAGGGTCTCAGTAATATTCTTCCTAGTCTACTGAATTGTATGTGTATCCTGATTTATTAGATTTGAATAAGAATTTTTAAAACAAAAACAGTATTTAAGCAGTTTTTCTTTTATTTTGTTTTGCACTAAACATCAGTTTTCTAAAAACTAATGATATCAATAAATAGAACAGAAAAATGAATACAAAAATAAAAAATAAAACATCAAGCATATATAGTTGGAACCACCACAAACGTAAAGCGGGACTCCTTATCAATGATCCTGGCTTGTATTTAAGGACATATTCGACTGTATGAATTGCTCGATCTAAAGGCTTAGACGGTTGGTCTCTAAATATTCTTGACACTCTCTGCATTTGTTTTTTGTATCTGAAAATGGAAAAAACTTATTCTAAAGGAACTGAAATGAGTCAAAAAGTGTTTCTAAAATAATGTATTTGTTTTATCCCTTTTCTGCTGTTTATTCTTTACAGTTCATTTTTTAAAATGTAAATGATAGGTGGTCGATTAGTAGTTTTCAATTTAAGAATCCCCACTTCTTCATTTTGGGCCTTCGAGCCGGATAAACATCATTTAGAAGTTCTAAGTACAAACTCTTTACAATAATTTGATCCTAAACTCTTTGGTCCCAAAATAGCAAAAAATTATAATTCAAAAAATAGAAACACTTTTACCAATATGGTGTTATTGTAATAGTAACTGCGTGGAACATAGTTAGTATATGTTAGATTTATTAATTACAACTCAAATTTTCAAATATTGTAAGAACCGTTCCAAATTAGAAACGGCAAAGAAAACGAGGAAACTTGAAGCCAGTAAAAAAATGTAAAGTTGTCTATAGTGCAAAATACATAAATAAATGAATTCCTCATTTTCTTTATATTTTTAATGTGCCTACTTATTATACCTAACAAAATGTTTAATAATAATACATTTATTGTTTAATAGTAAATAACCTCTGCACGTGCAGTTATTTCCTCCAAGAAATCTAATAATTATTGTAAGAGGCTAGTACTTAGGTAATTTAAAAATATTGACTTTTATTAATTATAATAATATTTTTTCTACACCCGTATTATAATAATGCACTTATATGCCCATAATCCGTTTCATAATGATACCCATTATGATACAGATTTTTCATTACGATACAGATTTTTAATCAATAGAAACCTACAATTTTTCAATCAAGTATGCTGTTTGACGTTTGTCCTAGGTTCCTATGTAATTATTTTAGTTATCAAAACGTATTAAATTTTCGTAGGTAGCTAAACTTCGATAATTATAATATTAAAATGTCTGATATTAGCGATATAGAAGACTCCTCCACACATATCGGAGAAAGCAGAAAATACAGTACAAAATATTTTACCGCAAAAATCTAGGGAAATACCAATACCTGAAGTAATACCATTAATTACAATTTTGTAGAATTTTTTATAGAAATACGAGTAATTACTGTTATTGTGTTCAATACCAATATAAATATAATATTTATAGGTCTTGATTATTTATCGGGTGTAGAAAAAATAGCGTATGCAACTCTCATGTAATGGTTATTAAAACACTCGCATAAACCATACGAAACTCGCCTTTGGCTCGTTTCGTATCCCGGTTAATGCTCGTGTATTAATAACCATCATTACATGATCGTTGCATAATATACTATTATATTACCATTTTTTTATCTAAACTACTTACCTACATTCTATTAAAAACTATAATATATAGGTTATAATTTCGTAAGTTACGGTCCTGGATAACAAACAGGAGCGGTTTCTTCATTGGTTCATTTGTGCAGTGAACATCCAGTTAAATTTGATAAAAACTCATTATTTTAACACGAGTGAGACGATATGGTGAATGCATATAGCTAAAAAGAGTAGAAAATATGCCAACAGATTGTCCAAACTGTCAAAGAACACATTAATTGGCGCGTCGCTCACAAACAAGGTTGCCAAACCAGTGTTGCCAGTCTAGTACAATTCACAATTGTACTAGATGTAGTACATTCTGCGTGCATCAGTGTTCACGTGTAAAATATATATATTGTGTTTCTTGTTTGGGTTAATTATCAATAAAGACCCCCTTTTTTCTCCTTCAATGGATTAGATGTCACTGCAAATAGAATTCGAAAAATCTGATACATTTAAGGAATCTGGTACATTTTTTAGACAAATCTGGTACATAGCAAAAACATACTCTGGCAACACTGTACCAAATAAAACAAACTGTCATTTCGTTTTCCGTCATTATGAAACGGTTTTAATAAAATTAAGATTATTTTATTATTTGTGGTCATTTAAAAAAATGTGTTTAATTGAGAACTGCAATTTAAATAAATTGGAAGGATGTATGTCAATTTAACGATTGTTCTCAAAAACTTTTTAAAGTTTTAAGACTGTAATTATTTTTATATTTTGTTTCAGTGTCTAAGACCATTTAAAGACTAATTCAAAATAGTCTATTTTGTACCCAATTGTAAATACCATGAAGTTAGAAGTAAATAAAACATTTGTAAATTTTTTTTCCCACAAAACCCGCTAAAACGAAAAATTTTATTATTCTGATGAGGTAACTACTTGACATCATTATGGAAATGGAAATATACAATAAAAATTTGATAAAGACAAATGGTTTTTCACTTTAAAATTCTGAATCGGAAAAATGGATCAACCAGTTAATTTAATATACTCCATAAGAAATTTTACCTAAGAAATAGTATGTACATTTAAATAGTTTACCTATATAAAATTATGTTTGTAATTATCAATCGCGTTGCCCTCTAACGAAGATCGTTTGTTGCATACAAACCAGAAGTATCAAAAATAAATTGTGATTTTGATTAGGCACTTAACAAGTCACATCCCACATATCTACATGTTCTGGCTAATCAATCCTATAAGTACTCGTATATATCAAAACATTAATATACTATCTACAACTAAACAATAATTTGAAAATACAGATGAAGCCGATTTACCTATTTAGACAAAATATTATTATTCTGTTATTTATTAAAACACATTATTTTTTAGTGAACATGGACATGCAAAAGTCTACCATGAGGGTAGGACAGAGCGAGAGCAAGAGTACTTTGGAATGTGCTGTGAAATACACTTAGAAAGGGTCATATGGAGAATTAAGTGTGATAACATTTTACGATATGTATCTCACTAGTTAAGTTCACAGTTTTCTGTGTTCTGTGTTCGATTATGTGCTGCTATTTCAAACTTTTAGTATCCTTTGGTAAAAGAAGTTGAATATTATTGTTGACCTTTTTAAATTGTTTACTTTACCTCATACATTATTTTTCTACTCTTCATACAGTATTCTGTGAAGAGTATTATAGGTTTACTTTGTCTGTCTGTCCGATGTCACGTTTTTTGTCTGCACGATAACTCAAAAACGAAAAATGATATTTACTTGAAAATTTTAAGCAAAAATCAAGCTCTATAAGGGGACAAAGTCTATTGATTTTTAACAAATTAAAAAAAAAATTCTAAATTAAAAACGAAAAGCGATATCAACATGAAATTGTTAGTAATAATGAAGCTTTATAAGAAGATAAAGCCTATTGATACTAAAAAAAATATGAATATATTGGGGAGTTAAGGGGGGTTAAAATTTAAAAAAATCAAAAATGAAAAGCGATATTAACATGAAATTTTTAGTAAAAAAGCAAGCTCTATAAGGAGTTGAGGCCTATTGATTGTAAAAACAATTTGGTTGAAAATGGGGGTCAAGGGGCTCTGTTAAATTGCGAAGAGTATCATTTAGAATGCCAGACATTATATATCTTTATTCTAGTTTGTGTCTGTGTAATATTATGTATTGTGATGGGACTGATCTTGTAAAATAAACATTTAAAACATTTTAGTTCCTATTTTATTTGCCAATAAAAGGTATTTAAAAAATATATTTTTTATTTGACATCTGTGACAAATTGTGAAAATGATTAAACTTACAATAAAAACTAAAAAATGGTAGGTAAAGTTTCATATAAAATTTTTTACACAAAAATCAATGTCAAGCTTCCTACACAACCTGATATATACAGAGTGGCCCAAAAGTCTGGAAACGGCCAATTATCTCGTAAATTGCTAGTCCTAATTGTACAAAATTTGGGGTACACCTATTTTGGGGTACGGTGATTTCAGATTTTATATTTGCAATGTTGCCAGATTTTCCGTTTTTCTTAAATTATTAGTCACTTTGGTTTTTCAAATTCATCACCCTGTATATTCCGTCAAAACCAAAGTGACTAATAATTTAAGAAAAACGACAAATCTGGCAACATTGAAAATATCAAATCTGGAATCACCGTATCCCAAAATAGGTGTACCCCAAATTTTGTACAATTAGGACTAGCAATTTACGAGATAATTGGCCGTTTCCAGACTTTTGGGCCACTCCGTATTAAAAAATAATCTCAAATTATGAAGAAAAGTCAGTTTACTAACTAATAATGTTTATAGATGGTTTTTAACGTATTAAAAACAAAACAAATATTATACTAACTAAAATATTCATTTATTAATAGTTGTAGTGCTAGAAAACATTATGATGTTGATAATAATAATTACACTTAATACAAACTCAAATAATAAAAAAAAACAGTGAAATTGACTCTTTTACAAAGTTTTGATCCGAACTTACAAATGATAAAATTATTGGAAAAAGTGAACACTCATTTTAAATTACCACGAGCCGCCACTGATAACAAACATTCATACGATTTTATTATTTCCATCATATTTATGCGAAGATGAGTGACAAAATTTGCAATTTACCATAAAGACAAAAATGTTAAATACCTACCTATGGCTGGAATTCACGCCAAACACGAAATATGCGTAATATGATAGATCACTAACTTAAAGACCATCTAAGCGACTACTAATAAATCGCAATTATAAAGCTGGTAAACTATTATTCGATAGTTGCCAGTTTTGTTAAAATAGAGCGAAATAGAGACGATGTACGATCCAAAAAATTCGCAGAATGACAACGTTGTACGGTTGAACAAACAATGGTAAATTCTTTTACCGCCATCTAAAAAAACTGTCTTCTGCTTACAACTTTTTTAATTTGCGCTACTGTCCACTTGGAACCGTCATGTGACGAGCAAAATAAAATCAAACTTTATCTTCATAAGCGTTGACTTACTAGGATATATTTATACAATGACTGTAGTCAATGAACAAAGTATGTAAATGTAATGTAAATTCGATAGAAATTGACATAGGTTATTTCCCGAATTCATTGAGTGGTACGTTCATATCCTAAGAATCTTATATAAGTTGGCTTGCCTGAAAATAGAAAAAACTTACTCTGGGTTTGTGGTAACTTTCCTTACAGCTTCATATATTTTGTTTTCAGTTAAATCTAAGAAGTCCAAACGTTCAGCAATACCATTTTTCTCAATTCTAACTGAGTTCATAATTTGATCTCCAAAAACGGGGATGGTAATCATAGGTACTCCATAATGAATCGCTTCAGTAACACTTAATAAACCGCCATGAGTGATAAATGCGATTGTGTTGGGATGAGCTAAAAAAAGCATTTTTATTAAAAGAAGAAATTCATTATAAACAAAATTAATAATCCTCATTTAAAGAACTTTTCATAAAACAGAAGCATTATAAATGGAGACAACAATTTTATGTTTAAGTATATTAGGCTATATACCAGTATCAAAAGTCTTTATAAAATTAATTAAGTCTTAACTTACCAAGAATAGGTGATTGTGGCAACCACTTTGACAAAAATAAATTATCAGGTTTGTCAGGTATTTCGAGTTCACATTTCCACAATATCGTTTGAGGGAATTTTCGAAAAACGTTCAAAAACGCATTGAGCTGCTCCTTAGACAAACTTTTACATTGTATATTTGTTCCCAAACTAACAAGTATGGCTCCATTTTTAGCACCATCTAAGACGGTTTGAACATCGTTGGGAAGCTTTTTAGACTCAATTTGAAAACCTCCTACTTCTACTACAGAACTTGTCGTTAAAGCTGGCCCTGTGGTCAAAGGATGTGAAAACAGTAACAACATTTCGGTATTTGTAAATACATTTTTAAGGTTCATTTTATTCGGAAAATATTTGTCAACCAAAGCTTGTTGAGCTGGAAAATATTTTAATTCTTTGTAAACAAAATCAAAACTACTTAACATCAGGTTATTTAATCTTTCGAAAAAGCTCATTTGGTTTTTGTATGCTGTTACATAATGAGGACTAATCGAAGGTAATTTTACATTCCCGACAAAATGATAATTCCACTCCATCAAAGGCTGTGAACTAAAAACTACTAAAGGTGCCTTGAAATGTTCTGCAAACGCCATATGAGCTTCGTTGATAAAATTATCTACGATTACCAAGTCGAATGTGCGATTGGAATTGATAAATTCTTGAACATTTTTTTGTTGCAGAAAGTCTTCTGATTGTTTGATTCCGTTATCTAGAAAGTTTTTATTCAAGAAAAATGGATTTGCTCTTGACCACGTTAGCACAACTAAAAAAATATATAGGTAAATAATAAATATAAATAGACATACATTATAATAAATTATGTAGAGTCGCTTAGGGTAAGTGTTCGCAGCGGGTAAGTGTGCGCAGGCGCTATCTTCAGTACAAGAGTAAGGCGGCAGCGGCAGCATTCACTTTAAATGCAATTTAGTACATCGTCGGCGATCGTAAGAATCGGATGTGCGACCGGTTGCAACGGCTTTTGTTTATGAAATACTAACAAATATAAAATATCGGCAATTTTGCTAAAATTTTCGACAAACTATTAGTATCTGTTTCTCGGTGTGGATTAACGTAAGTACACATTTTATGGAATATATATGCATTGAAGTTTAATTTCATATATGAACATAATTTGTACGTTGTTTGTATAACCTCAAATTTGAGACTTTTTAAAATTATTTGTTGTTGGGCAGAGATAAGGGACATAAAGATAGGAAACGCAGCAACGATAGCGTACTTTATGCGTTTTAGATGTTAACTAAAAGTGCTCGTCATTTGTAGACAGACACTGAATTAGACAGTTTGTAAAAATAAAATAAAATATAAGAAATTGGCAGTCATTACTTCAAATATCACCAGGTAATAATAAAACTGCCGTTACAGCTCTGAAAGGACATCTCAATATTAGTCAAAATAGTAGTGAATGGTTAGCTTCCTTGTTATTTGATGAAATTAGTTTAAAGGGAGAAATTCATTATATTGCCAGCAAAGATAGGATTATCGGTGTTGTTGACGACGGAGAATACCGTTCCAATGAAAGAGCAAAATCTGTGATCAATAATTAACCTGGCTATACCGAAATCTGCTCCCCGAATATCGTCAGCAAATCCGAAGGACATACTACTCCGATATCACCACTTTTGGTCAAGAATTACAGAACATACCGTCGTTAAGCTCCGCTCCGAGGAATACCGTTCCCCGTTATCCTTTACAATCCGAGCCTATCCGATACCCCGTTCACGAGTCTACCCGATTTAAACCATTCGAGTCCCCCCGCTATTCTTATCCCGATCCACCTCGATTTTACCAAGCGAAGTCACCCGCAACCGACAATAAACCCGTTTCCTCACCTGTCCCCACCGTCCGTAATCAGCCGCAAAGATTTGAACCACAACCATCCACCTCACGTGGAATAGACTGTCCGATACAGACTATCACGCCCCTTACTGATCGCTCATTGACTCCAGAACAATCCGATATGCTGGATGAATTCCTGCAAGCCGAACTGCCTGCATTTTACGACATACGTGGACCGACCGATCTCGTAGAACATGAGATACGGCTAGTTAAACCTGAACCTATCAAGCAAAGATACCGACCTCAGAATCCAAAGATGCAGGAAGTTATCAATGAAGAGGTAGATACAATGTTACAAGAAGGAGTAATAGAACCCTCCAAGAGTCCGTGGAGCTCGCCCGTTGTCATCGTAAGGAAAAAGGATGGCAAACACCGGTTCTGTATTGAGTTAATGAAGTCACGATGAAGGATGCCTACCCTCTGCCGAATATGAATGCCATTTTAGACAAGCTTCGTACCGCAAAGTATATTTCAAGTCTTGATTTGAAGAGTGGTTATTGGCAAGTACCACTATCGTCCCGAAGTAAACCGATAACCGCATTCACCATGCCAGGAAGGGGACTCTTCCAATTTCGAGTCATGCCTTTCGGCCTTCATTTAGCTCCAGCTACCTTTCAAAGACTAATAGATTAATAGATTAATTATTGGGCTCGAGATGGATCCGCATGCTTTCGCCTACCTAGATGACATCATCATTCTAGGTGAAACTTTTGATGATCACCTAGCTTATTTAAGAGAAGTCTTCCGACGCCTAAGAGAGGCAAAACTTCAAATAAATTTTGAAAAATGTAATTTTTGCTTACCGAGCATGAAATATCTAGGACACATAGTTACTGGAGATGGAACAGGCACTGACCCCGAAAAGATAGCATCAATTGTGCAGTTCGAAGCACCGAAAACGATCCGTGAATTGAGAAGAGTTTTGGGAGTTGCATCCTGGTACCGCAGGTTCGTCCCGTCTTTCTCACAGGTGGTAGCTCCACTCACAAAGCTACTGCAAAAAGCCTACAAGTGGCGCTGGGAGGAAGAACAAGAAACCGCATTCCGAAAAATCAAGAACATTTTGACTGAGGCACCGATACTCAGTTGTCCCGATTTTACCGTAACGTTCAAGTTACAAACTGATGCTTCTGATCATGGTTTAGGAGTAGCGCTGACACAGAAAAAGGATGGCATCGACTATGTTATCGCATATGCCAGTAGAACTCTGAGTCCGGCCGAGAGGAACTTTTCAGTTACAGAAAAGGAATGCCTCGCTATAGTCTGGGGTATTGAAAAGATGCGAGCTTACCTAGAAGGATACCACTTCACCGTACTCACCGACCACCAATTACTGAAATGGTTGCATTCAATTGTGAGTCCGTCCGGCCGTCTTGCAAGATGGAGCATCTTCTTGCAACAGTACGATTTTGACATCAAATACCGAAAAGGAGCGCTAAACCGAATAGCTGATGCATTGTCCAGAAATCCGTTGCCAGAAATTCAGACTATGTCAGACAAACCAGATGTGTGCGCCGTGGATGAAGATACCAAATGCAAATGGTATTCATCTAAGAAACCCTACCGATTATCCAGATTTTTGCATCAAAGAAAACCGCCTATATCGTCATTTTTGGGACATAAATGATTACAAAGAACCAGAGTTGTCCGATCCGTGAAAGTTATGCGTACCAAAACCGCAAAGAGATCGCGTTCTGAAAGAAAGCCATGATGCGCCGACCGCAGGCCATGCCGGAATCGCCAAAACTATAACCCGCATAGCTAGAGAATATTATTGGCCTGGAATGTTCCGAGACATTACCAAGTATGTATTGTTTGCAATGTCAGAAATACAAACCGTCCCAACAGCGGACGCCGGGGAAGATGAACCCCTCACCGAACCGTCAACCTTGGGAGGTTGTTATCACAGACTTTGTTGGACCGCTACCCCGGTAATCATAAAACTACTTGCGACCGTAAGAAGATTTTGTTTTGTTCCCGTTGTGGCCTTGTGGGAACCATGTCCTGAGACTGTTCTTGTATGTCGACACCAACCTCACTCGCCGTCACCACCCCTGTACCGTCTGGAAGGTACCGATCGATTGGAGTACAGGTAGACCTACGTCCACGACGCCGTAATGTCGGCCTTCAATGTTTCCGACAATGGTAGTTCCGAGTTCGACGATATGGTATGGTATGAAAATGGTATGGTTTTGACTCCGGAACCGAAGAAAAGAAGATTATATTTTGAGTTTGTAAATTTTATTAATAGTTTTGTAATAATTAGGTAGGCGGATAAAGGAAAAATAAAGGCAAACGATGTTCGCCTTTATTTTTCTTTCCGAAGTGAGGGGGGGATGTAATGAAGTCAATTTTCCTCAGTCAGTTTATTTTCATTTTTCATTTTTAATAAATATTAAACGCGGATATACTGTTGGGCCTGAGTCAATTTACATGCGCGAACGCCGCTCGAGATCTCGATGCGCGGTGGGTCTGAGGGTAGATGGGGTTTCTGATGGGAAAGGGAACGAGACCCGAGATGCTATTAAAATTATCAGTTGGATATAATTTTTGACTGCCACCAGTCGAGTCTAATAAGCCGCACTAGAAATCAAATCACCGCCGATATTTTTTCCTTTTTCTTGTATTTACAAATCCGTTAGGTAAAAAACCTTGTTCCGCTTTTTACGTTTTATATTGAGACCGTCTTTCATTTTAAAAACCGAATTAGCTTGTAGGAATAGGAATATTTTCATTCAGTGTTTAGTTAAAAGATTTAATTTGATTTCATTAATAAATAATAGAATTTGTTTCTTGGCAAATAATACCGTTTTTTTTTATAGATAGTGTTGAGTTAAAAGATTTTAAATTTGACTTCATTAATAAATATTAGAATTTGTTTCTTGGCAAGAATAATATTGTTTTTTATAGATAGACTTTAATTTAAATTTATTAATAAATATTAGAATTTATTTCTTGACAAATATAATACCGTTTCTTTAAAAAGGGATAGAATTTGAATTAAATAATAAATGATAGGATTTAATTCTGTAATATTGTAAAACCGGGGATTTTAGACTTTTGATCGTTAGTTTGTATTAAGAAATTATTTTTTTTCTTTTGATAGGTTAAATCGGGAATTAAATTTGATTTTATTGATAAATACTTTTGTTTAGTAAGTGCCGCGTTGTAATTAAGTTGGGAATATTTATAAACGGAGTTTTCGAGGAGACGTTTTCTCTCTTTTAATATTTTGTTTATTCCTTTACCGTACATTTGAATAATATTAAATAGCATCCTGTCCTTGTCTGAACGGGCTCGTGATGACGATCAGTTCACTCTTAGAGTAGGTGCTATCCGTGTTATTTTTTTTTAGTTAATGTGTAAACCGAAAATTTAAATAATTTTAAATAGTATCCTGTCCCTGTCTGAACGGGCTCGTGATGACGATCAGTTCACTCTTGGAGTAGGTACTATCCGCGTTAGTAGTTTTCTTCCCTCCGATAATATTTTTTTTTTCTATTTCACCGTCAATTTAAATAACTTTAAATAGTATCCTGTCCCTGTCTAAACGGGCTCGTGATGACGATCAGTTCATTCTAAGATTAGGTGCTATCCGCGTTAGTTTTCTTTTTCCCTTTATATTCTTCATTTTTTTTTTCGTGCAAACTGCAACTTGCAGAAATCAAAAATAGCTTCATTACCCTGTCTGAGCAGGCTCGTGATCACGATCAGCTCATTCTGGGATAATAGGCTACCCCGGGTATAAATTTATTTTTATTTTCTTTCCGTGTATTTACTATAGGTAATTCTTTCGCGTCCCTGTCTTCTCGCACTCTCTTTGACCGTTTGGCTAATTTTTCCTCACCTAAATAGCAAAATACCTACATTTTAGTTTAATTCCCGATACCACAGTTAAACAGTTAATTACCGAGTAAATAGCCAAGTTAATATTTTTTTTTCTCTGCGACCGAAACATACATTTTATTTTAATTTAATTTTGACGTCTGATTGAGACTAGTCGCGTTTTGTTTCTTTTTTTTATTCAGGGTTATATTGACTATCACCACAACTGGGGTGGGCATTGAAATAGATATTTTTTTTATGTTGTAAATAGTTATTCACAATATATGTGTCAATGTTAACTTGCCGTATTACTGGTTAAAAATTCCCTACTTTATTTCCCCCTTATATTTCAGCTAGTGATAAATTCTGTACCAGCCCAAGCAACGATTAAAGCCCGTTACTTGTGGCCTACTATTACCTGTGTCTAAGTGACCTTTGACCCCTGGAATTTTTTATCTCCATCTGTAGCTACCCGAGTGCTTTTGACGCCGTTTCGAGAGTTTGTGGAGTAAACCATTACCAAAAATCTGGCGCTCGAGAACCGCCCATAACCAGCGTCATTCGTAAGGAACCGTTTTCTCTGTGGCGAGAAAACCCCTTACAGTTTAATCGAATTTTATTTTTTGGTTTAATCTACAATTTTTTGTGACAGGGTTTCATTATATTTTTTGCCCCGCGCCATTTGTTTATCAACTTTTCTATATTTTATTAAAAATAAATGTCTTAAAAAATCTTTATTAGCTCTTTTATAGTAGGGTACGGTGTCGGATTGGGCTGTCGGTCTACCGGTCCCAAGACCGTTAGGCTCTCGTTCAGTCAGTGGGCCCTTGAGAAGAACAAAGAATCAAATGCGAAGAAACCCCGAAATATGTGACAACCTCGGAAAAAGCATCAGTGTGTAAGGAAAACTTTTTTTTGCTTTAAAATGAATCGGACTATGAAAAATGAATTGATAGATAGGTCCTTCTCCCTCCTGAACCAGTAGGCCCTGGAGGTGACAATCCGACACTGGTAGGGTATTAATAATTGCTCTTAATGTCAACATAAGTATGTGGCATTGGTTAAGTAAATAATGATTTAAATAAAAATATAGTTACTTATACCCATCGGAAGTAGATTATGTATATCCTAAGTCATTTTGGTTATTTATTTTTAATTAGTGTGTGTGCACAACAAAAATATTGAAAGTCTCAGAGCTACTTAAAGTAGCCCTAGTATACTAAAGAATAATATATTTTTACTTACATTCGTTATCGAATGGCTCAGACTTTTTCGTTTTGATTGTTACATAATTTTCAATTTTCTCATTCGGCTCAAATTCACTTATTACAGTCACTTCATGTCCCCTCTTAGCCAATTCTCCGAAAAGCTTTTCCCCCAAAATAAAATGGCTATATCCAGGACAAGGAAATATACCCAAAATTTTAGCGCAGTTTGCTATATTGCAAAATATTAATAATAGCGAATACGTATAATAGTACTGCATTTTAAAGAATGACTCGACAATTAAATTATTATCAATTTTATTTTCTTATATATTGAAGTGGGAGATAACGAAATATGATTACATAATAATTGTGATACAGACTGAATTTTTAATGGACAGAAAAGTTATTATTAGTAGATACTTATATTGGTCCACTTCAAATTTCAACTCAATAGTTTTAATTATATTACTCCGACTCTTGTTTAAATACCCATAAGTTTTATTCTTTAATTTTATTCTAAGATCATAAATATTGCAAGATACCATCATATAAAATTACTGACGGTAAATTGATGCTTCCTTTCGAGATACATATTTTTTGGTATTCATGCGACATGTTTGTTTATTTTTTTACACCCTATCTTTAAAGTGCCTTGTATTTCACCGATTTGTAGCGCTTAAAACGAATGTTTATTATTAGAATGAAAAAAGTAAAAAAATGTTAAAAAAGTGTTAACGTTAACTTTATTTTAAGCTTTCCATAAGCTAATACGTTGATTAGTGCAATTGTTTGACCTTTGACAGTACCAAAGAATACCTACAGTACATGAACTGTAACTAATTTGACGTTAACAGATTTGCTTATAGTATCAATAATTCGATTTGTTTTAATTTAATAGTAGTTCCTCTTCCTATTATTATGGATAGTGAAGATTATAAGTGTGAAATATGTACTCCCGAAGAAATCATAGAAAAAGGCAAATGTGACCACATTAAATTTGCTGCCGGAAAAATCCAAAGAAAATTATTTAAATGAATATGACATTTTTATGAAATGGCCGAACCAGAATAATACTCATAGCTTTCATAGCGGGTGTTATAAATTTATTAATTTCTTCTAGTTTTTAACATATTTCATAAATAGGTAACAATTTATTTCTTTTATAAATATTTAAAGAAAAAAATTCTCTAAAAACTTTCTAAAATATTATTTTATATGCCATCACATAAACTATTTTTTATTTTAGTAAAATTAGTTTATTTACATTATCGTTGTTTTGTTGTTTTTTCTAGTACTGGACAAATACGACTGAAGCTTAGGGAATGGGCATAACTTACCAGCCATACTAAATATTTTTTTTATATTCTTCTTTGTTCAGTAAAAGTTCAGTTCAAATAAAAGTTGAAATAACTTTCGAAACAATATCCTGTATATCAGAATTTTAAAAATTTTAAGAGCAGAAGAAATATTCTCTAATTTTTCTGCATACAATTTTGTTACTTGAGATAGAGGCTGATTAATTTTAGATCTCATAAAATATAAAAATAATATCCAAAATTGAAATTACTTTCCTAAAATTAGAATTCAATTATTAGCCAGTTTGGGTTACTTGATATTCATGACATGGGTCACAACGTAATTTCGATTACTTTGTATTATTTCTTATTTATAACAAAGTAACGTCTATTAAAAAAAATAGATTTACCTTCGCAGGTAGGTTACTTGTTTTTTCTAAACTAACTATAATTATTTTAAAAGCATTGAGAAAACGAAATTTGTGTACTTTCCCTCTTTTATGACATCTAAATTGAAATGTGACTCCCCTAGTTGAAATTCTATACTTGAAATTTACAACATAATGATTAAGTCTCTTTAGAGACAGCAAGTCAAATATTTAACATTTCATCAAGATCGCGTATTTAAACTAGAGAGTTTTAATCAAAAAGACTTTCTACGGAAATTCAATCTACATTCTTAGTAGGTAAAAAGGAGTTGACTTTGCTTTTTATTATGACTGTTTGAATGAATAAAATAGGATTTTAAGGAAAGTTTTTAATTAATTCTAAAAACTTTATGTAAATACTCTTCAATAATATGATCTCACGGTTTCAATTTAAAATAAAATTCCTTCTGCATCTGAAAATTTCAAATGAATGAAATAAAAATGTTTCTTGGCTTTCTCGGATTAAACACTAACCACTATTCAAGAAAACATACAGAGAGTAGGTATGTAACTAACAAGACAAAAACACTCCATCAATGATGTTTTTCTAGATCTAAGAAATACTTTTGATATCTTTTACCAGAACTTGGGCAATTGCTAAGGGCCATTCGCACCGCTTTTACTTAGTATATAAGTAACACTTAAGAAGGCATAACCGTTAGCACCGTTATTAAAGTTCTAATGGCAACTTTTACAGCCGTATGCATAGTCGATCGCCAGCGACTCGCCAGAGATTCATTTCGGTGTATCGCCAGCGATTCGCTGGCGATCCGCCGGCGAAAGCCCAAAAAGCTGGCGACTCGCCGGAGATTGTCACCGGAATGTCATTTCACGCAAGCTTTTATTTTCTTGTTTTTTTAATTTCTTTAATGCTTCTGCATGATTTTTAACCATGGTTGAACATTCCTCGTCCCACCAATAGGGCCTGGGAGATAAAGGGGTAAAAGGTTTTTTAGTAGGCATAGATTTGGATGCTGCTGAAGAAATAGCGTTAATCAGTTGAAGTATTTTGTCTGAATAATTGGATGATATAAAAAAAGACGAAAGTTCGCTTTCTAAGTAAGACTGAAATGCGGGCCAATCAGCTCGCATATCATTCCATTTGGTACTAGGATTGATTTCAAATATTGTAGGGTTAATTTGTATTTCTATTTTAATTGGACAGTGGTCTGAACCTAAAGAATCTGGATATACCGACCAACTTAAACGATCTGCTAAAAGAGGGGAGGTAAGAGTTAAGTCAACTGCAGAGTTGATTCCATTGGGATTAATTCTAGTTGGGGATCCATCATTCAACGTAATGAGTTCAAGATAATCCATGGCTTCAACTAGATTTTTTCCACCACGGTCATCTGGGATAGGACCCCATAAACCATGGTGTGCGTTGAAATCACCGCAAAAAATAGTAGATGGGAGTTTAAATTGTTGAAAGAGGTTGATCCAATCATTTTGAATAACTACTACATCAGAAGGTTTATGTATTGAAACTAAAAAGATATCGCTTTCAGTAATATGAACTGCACATATTTCTATACCAATGTCAAAGCTTTCGTTTAACTCAATCTCTTGATAAGAGATACTTTGTAAAATAAAAATGCCAACACCACCGTATCCATCATCTCGACATTTTAGTACAGAATTATAACCTTTTATACTAAAATTATTATATGGTTTTAACCATGTCTCAGATAATATAATTATGTCTACATGATTTTCATTAATATAATTTAGGATACTATTTTTATTAGCAACAATAGATCTGCTATTCCATTGTAGTATAGCTAATTTTTCTGTCAATTTATTTTGGGTAACTATGATGTAATTTATTTTTTAGTAGAAATTTTTTTCACTTCCATACTCTGATTCACTACTTATTTCCATAATATCCCGATTCAAGTCAAAAGACTCTAACGTATTGTCGATAATTTTTTTAATTTCAAAATCTGAAATACAGTTTGATGAACCAGAAGGGATTGATCTGGTTATTTGATTAACAACTGCTGTAACGAGTAGAACAATTTTATCTTTATAATTCATAAAGTCATCCCTATGCGGATTGGGGATAATAGGCATAGACTTAGGTTTAAGGTTATAAGTTTTTTTCACCGGAGTAGAACTTATAGAGGGGGATGTTGGTGTAAATTTTCGTTTTGCTACCCTTGGGCTGGCAGGTTTTGTAACAGGTTTTTTTATTGTATAAGTCGATATATGGCTACTGGAACTATTAGGTAATGGGGGAAAGTTGTTAATATCGTTTAATAAAGAAAATCGATTGTTTGTAGTAACTTTTGCGTAAGAAGGATTATTATATATATGTTCAGCTTCTCTAAAAGTTATGTTTTCACGAGCCATAATCTGTTTAATGTTTCTCTGCTTCGTATAAATTGGACATTTCCGTGAGATCGAAGGGTGCTCATTATTTTGACAATAAATACACCGACTAACATCTGTACACTCGTCATCATTATGATTCGTGTCAGTACATTTTTTACATTCACTGTCTTTAGACTTGCATTGCCTAGCCGAGTGACCGTAACGTAAGCACTTAAAACACTGTACAACTGGCTGTACATAGGGCTCAACAGTAAAATTACATAAATTAATTTGAACATTCTGTGGAATTTCGTTACCCAAAAATTGTACAATTATCATCTGTCTATTCACAAAACATGAATTTCCATCTGTATCCACTACCTTACGTTTCATTCGCTGTACACTTACTACTTCTTTAGTTGAAATTATTGCATTTAACAAATATTCTTCAGAGAAAAAAGTATCTACCATTCTAACTACACCCTTCTTATAGGTGTAAAACTTTGGAATATATGCAATCAAATCGTTTTTAACTATAACATCATTATTAACTAACAAATTTGCGATTACTAAAGATCTAAATATTACTTTAACCCTATTAATACCCACAGATTTAATATCCAAAACATCATTTTTCAATGTATCGACCGTCATCAAAAAATGTCCTATTTTAATAGGAAAAAGTCTTCCAACATTTTTATTGTTGTGCTCAATAAACACAAAATATGGACCATTGTCACCTGGTCTATAGCGATTCTCTAAATCTATCATACTCGTAACATACCTGTTTTCATCAGCTTTATTGATCTCATTTTTTTCTTTATCAGTCCTTACCTCGGGCGGCTCGTCGCCGCCCGTTTCCTCCCCCATAATTTGGGAAAATTTCCTTCTCAGTAATCAGAAACTATAATTGGCTTGGCAATAAAACTATAGACAAAGGATCCCAAATAACTAAAACCGATTATAAAGGGTTTTCTAGCCAAAAACGCAGAAAATATCAGCACCCAGATAAAAATTCGACTCTGACAGTGACGTTTTTATTTGGCATTGTTTTTTCCGTGTGGTCTTATTTATGTTCGACACTAAATTAGAGGCCAGTTATGGACATTGGAGATTGAAGCAATTATACTTACAAAGTTTTCTCATCAGGATACTGTTATGTAGTACTTCGGAAAATGAGTTTATGCTAAACTCTAAGCCAAGGCAATATATTAACCGGATATTAAACTCTAGAGAATCATTTTAATAAAATCAT